TTGTCTCAATAGTACTGGGTTGATAAGGCAAGGGGCATACAGGCAGGGTTGGGAAATAGGCAGAAAAAAATATTTACCATCAAATAATTGTGGAGAGCCAATGTAAAACAGTTATGAAATGAATCAAGTGCTATGTAAGGTACAAATAAAATACTATGGCTTGTACCTTGTGTTCAGATTTAACAATGGATTATAGAAGGTTTAAAATCAGGAAAGGTGTGCATTAGGATTGTATCCACTCACCGTACTTATTCACTGAGCAAATCAGAGAAGCTAGATTACATGAAGAAGAATGTGATAGGCTTAGAGGAAGGCTTGTTAAAAACCTGGAATAATCAGATGACACAACCTAGCTTGCTGAAATTGAGGAATATTTGAAGCATTTACTGATGACAATAAGGATCTTTAGTACAGATTATAACTCAGTGTAAGAAAACCCAAATCCTTACATCTGGACCAAAAGGCAACATCCTCATAAATGGAGAAAAGGTTGAAGTTGTGAGGACCGTGTCTTGCTTGGATCCACAGTCAGTGCTCATGAAAGTAGTAGTCAAGGATTCAACAACACATTGTACTGGGTAAAGCTTCTGGATAAAGTCTCTTTAAGGCGTTGAAAAGCACGAATGTTACTTGGAAGACGTAAGGTATGCCAGAACAAAGCCAGGGTATTTTTAATTGCCTCATATGCATGGGAAAGTTAGACATTGGATAAGGAAGACACAAGAAGAGTCAGTGAGTTTGAATGACAAAGAATATTGAACGTGCCATGGACTGCCAAAAAAAGCAAGCAAACCTGGCTTGAAAGGAGTACAGCCAGAATGTTCTTTAGAAAGGATGACAATACTTGGTCTCAAATGCTTTAGACATGCTGTCAGGAGAGACCAGTCCCTAGAGATGGACATTATGCTAGGTAATAAAGAGACAGCAGAAAAGAGGGAAACTCTCAACAAGTTGGATTGACACGGTGGCTGCAACAATGGTCTCAAACGTAGGAGCAATGATGAGGATGGCGCAGGATGAGGCGAGGCAGTGTTTTGTTCTGTTGCACATAGAGTTGTTAAGAGTCAGAACCAACTCAATGGCACCTGACAACAATAGCCATAGATAGCAGTGCGCACGTCAAGGTTGAGGCATTATTTGAAGACAGTAGTAGCAGGTATGATTTGAGAATCGATTGTAAGTACACTTTCATGCAAGGTATTCTTATATATCCAATCTAAAACGCACTGCTGGCAAGTTAATTTTGACTCAGTGACCATAAAGGCAGAACTGCCCCATATTGTTTCTTAAACTGTCATTCTCATGGAAGCAGACTGCCTTATCCCTCCCTCCCCCATCCCCAAAATCAGCTAGTAAGTTCAAACCTTTTGGTCAGCAGGCAAGCAGCTAACCACGGTGCTAATAGGGCTCTTTTCTTATATACCAAGCACAATAAAACAAACCCGCTTAGAGTTGATTCTACCTCAAAGCAACCATCTTAGAATAGAGCTGCTTCCAAGGGTTTCTAAGGCAGTGAGCCATTACAGAAGCATACAGCCTCATCTTTTCTTCCACGGAGCAGCTGGTGAATTGGAACTGTTGGCCTTTTGGTTAGTAGCCCAGTGTTTAACCACCACACCATCAGGACTACTTTTTTATATACTAGTCGCTCTCACCTTATAATATCCTTGTGAAGCACCCGTAGAACTTGATAAAATTTTAAGCCTCATTCTCAGAGACTTTGTTCCAGTCAGAGTAAACCAAACCAAACCTGTTCCTAATTAGTTAATTCTGATTCAAGAGGCCTTACAAGACCATATAGAAATATCCCATAGGATTCCTGTGACTGTAATCTCTCTGTTTTAGAGTGGTTAGTTGGTTCAAACCACTGACCTTTCTGTTAGCAGCTGAGCACTTAGCTACTGCATCGCTGGAGCTACTCCAGTCAGAGTAATTGCATGTGAAACCATCTTACAGGGTATACAAAAGTGGTTGGTTTAAGTAACACTGACTACCTAACAGTTATTGTAAGTTATAATAGATACACAATGTAAGCCATTTAGGTTTTGTGAAAGAAACTTTATACTCTTACCGATGTCTCAAATGATAACTTTGGAAATTGTATAATGGATGGAATAGATGGGTTAAATGCTAGAAGATTAAGATCATTGGGAAGATTAAGATCAATAACTCAAGCATCTAGCTGTTGACACTACATATATCTGTCCTGTATTTTAAAGAAGATATTAGTATCCATAAAATTTTTTTGATACTTAATGAATTACATATATAACTAGCTTAATTATGATTTGATATGTGATTTATATCAATTAAGAAACCGATAGAGATTACACATTTTCCAAACTTTTCCCCTCTTACATAGCTTGGGTACTTGTTAAGACAATGGGTAGCAATTTCAGATACCAGTTTTAAAATTGCAAGCTGTGACCTATTAGTTTGTAATGAAGTTGATAGTGTGGGTCACTAATAAACTTATGTTGGTGTTGTTGCTTTGACGCTAAGGGAGCCCCGGTGGGGTAGTGGGCTATGCAGTGAGCTGTTAACCCCCACAGATCTGCTGTTCACACCATCCACACTCTCCACAGGAGAAAGATGAGGCAGCCTATCTCCTCCTGTAAAGACTGATGATCACAGAAACCCACAGGGGCAGTTGTACCCTGTCCTGTAGGGTTTCTGTGTGTCAGAATTGACTCAATGACAGTGAGCTTGCTCTCTTGGAGTGCAGTAAGAGTAAAATATTATAAAATGCACAATATCATCATACAGGGTAAAGGTATTCTTATGAAACATTTTTCTCTCTGTGTGTGTGTGTGTGTGTGTGTGTGTACACGCGTGCATATGGTGAATGGAAAAATTTCTTAGCATGAGTCGTAAAAAAGAAATAAAAAAACATGGGTTTACATTCTGCAAGTAGTAAATACAGAGGAACAAGAATTTGGGGAGGGACTCTGACACAGGAAAGGCTCAACCTTCTGCTCTTATAAATATGCTTGGAGAGAAACTAATACAAAGGAAACTCTGAGCAGTGAAGAAGAGTCATAATGAATGCTTTTAGCTTAGTGAAGTCAAAGAGGAGTAGTATTCAGGTTTGGTGTCTTGGAAGAGGCAGGATAAACAGGTAAGAAACTAGCAGAACCTCGTATGCTACATTTGAGGATTTGGGAGGTAATTAAACCATGTGTTTATGCTGAAAAATCAGGATTAGTAGTAACTTTTGGCTTATGAATTATACTAGCTTTTTCTAGGTTTCTTTATGTTGGATGCTTAGAGAGGATATTTTTGGCAATCATTTGATTATACGCTTATCTTCACTAATAAGCATCTGATAATCTAAACACATTTTGAAATTATGTAAGTTTCATTTTTTTAAATTCAATACTTGTATATTATTCCCTTCCATCTTTTTGATTTAGTCTGATGTTATACATCAGAGCGTGTATGAACTTATTCATACTGAAGATCGAGCTGAATTCCAGCGTCAACTACACTGGGCATTCAACCCTTCACAGTGTGCAGACTCTGGGCAAAGAATTGATGGTAAGAATGCTTATCAAAATACAGTCTTCTTAATTTCTTAATGTAATTCTGTTAGGGGAGGCAGTGAGCCTTGGTTAATTGCTGTTGCTGCTTGCCTTTGGGTTGATGGTAACGAATGACAGCTTGTACGTATCGTGTTGAACTACTCCATAGGGTAGTTTGGAAGCAGCATATCAATCTGCCTGTCTTCAGATATGCCTATAAATGGGCTCAGCCTTCTGACTAGTAGTCAACGCTATCACCCAATACTGTCAAGTTGAGTAGAACTGTCACAATGGGTTTCCAAGGTTATACTCTGCTACATGGCTCTCCCATGGAATGGCTGGTGGGTTCCAGCCTTTAGATTTGTATTCAAGCACTTAACCACTGTGCCAGAAGTCCTCCTTGTGGACCCCATTAGGGCACAAAATTCATGAACTTACAGAAGGAATGGAAAGACAATTTCTAGGCCTAAGCCAGGTTACGAGACCTAGATGAACTGAGGGTGCTTTGGCAGATGATTGGCATGGATGAGTTTCAACCAAGAGTACTGCCATAATAAGTACAGGTAGTCCCAGGTTAGGAAGAGATGTAGTGTTAATTGTGTTTTTAAGTCTTTAAGTGGACTTTGGAGGTGAAATAGAACTGTTGCATACAAACCTTATTTAGCCTTACCTTAGTGGAACAAAATGCTTGAAACCTTTCCAATAATTTAAAAGCTGTGCATGCAGCAAATGAATGATTATTATGGAGAATTTATTACAAGTAGTTATTGGTGCAGTCCTTTGACAGTAAGGGCAAATTTGCCTCACATTGAAGGATAAGAAGGCAGTTGCTAAGTCTCCTTGTGCGACACAAGGAATGCCTGTAATAAGATAATAACTCTTTTGCCATCATGAAACTTGGAGAGAATCTACAAGATTCACACAGGAGTTTATATAAAGTACTCTGTACTTAAAATGCACAAAATTAAAATGTAAAATACCATGTGTAAGTACAAATACCAGCAGTATTTCCAAAAATATATATGAAAGTGTTAAAAATAATAACATTGAAAAATATGCAAATTATTAATAATGATAGCTCAATAAAAATAAAAACAAGTAGATAATGTTTTACGTAGTAACAATCACAGTAAGTTTTGTTTCTTTTCAATGGCTCCCCATCTGAAAATGATTTTTTTTAATGCAAAATACAGTCTTCCACTTCAAGATTAACACCAATTTCAACTATTTAAACACTAAGCAGTTAATTTTATAGCAAAATGGAAAGTAAATCTGTGTTGATCTTATTTCTGCAGAAGCTGATGGCCTTTCACAGCCAGCCGTCTGTTATAAGCCTGACCAGCTTGCTCCAGAAAACTCTTCTTTTCTGAAGAGGAATTTCCTATGCCGGCTAAGGTGTCTGCTGGATAACTCATCTGGTTTTCTGGTAAGGGGCAGAATCTTAGAGTAACATTTAACATTAAGTTATAGAAATAAAAAGAGACAAGTTAAGTAAATTCATGTTTGAGTTTATTTATTAAAGAGCTACTCCCAAAGAGTTTGGATGTTGATTATTTCTCATAGGTAAAAGAAAAAACAGAAAGACATTCTATTCCTAAGGATAAAACAATACCGGTTGAGTGGAACAAGATATACCTTTGTATTTTGCTTATTAGGCTATTTTAAATTTTAAGATAGAGAACCACCTGGCCCTTCTATATGAACAGGATGCAGTCTGCTAGATCTAAGAACTACTAATAACTGCCACCGTGCAGACCTAGTGTCTATTCGTGGTTTCAGAATCCCTGTCTTGGATGAGCTATTCCTTGTGGCATAATCTGAACCACCTGGGTGGGATAATTATCAGGAGCAATTCAGACAGAACAGTCAGAGTGGGGTGGCCCATCCTCGGCATTTTTACCGGGTCTCACTCCACCAGCTACAGGAAAGGAGTTTGTTGCATATCCTTTTTGTGAATTACTAGGAATTTGAAATGTAGGAACCTATTTTAAATTAAGTAGTAGGAAACCATGGTTTTGGGAGGGAAGGTCATTTTTCTGACAGAGAGTTGGGTATTGAGAATATTTTTCTGGTATTGGTGACAAAAAAATTCATATTTCTGAGATTGAATTTCAATGTATAAAAATAGGGTCTTTTAATACTGGTACTCATATCCAATTAACATAACCAATCCTTAGTAGATTCCCTGGTTCCCCGAAAATAAGACCGTGTCTTATATTAATATTTGCTCCCAGAGATACGCTAGGTCTTATTTTAAAGGGATGTCATATTTTTCCATGAAGAAGAATATGGTACACTTTTATTGTTGAACAACAAAAAAGGAAATTTATTACCTGTATATGGTATGGTAGTAGTCATCACAAACCAGCATAACCAGACAAACTGTGAATCCTACAGTATCAAGAATTTCTTGTTACTATTATTTCCATGTACAACAATCTGTGGTACATTTACTCATTTATTCAATGACAGTCATGTCATCATCTTCTGGAACATAACAATCCAAACCCTTATTTTCGGGAGTTCTTATTTTCGGGGTATGTCTTACTTTCGGGGAAACAGGGTAATAAAGTTTTAATCAATAAGCTGATTGTATTAATGTACAAATTGCTGTACTTTCTGCTTGCTGAAGCTATTATTATTACTGTTATATAGCTGTGCATTTTTTTGTTTTCATAATGATTTGTTTTTGCATTTTAATAAAATTTTACTCTGATCACTACATAGATGATTAGCACACAGATAAGTCCTCACTGCCATCAAGTTAATTCCAATTCATAGTGACCCTGTAGGACAGAGTAGAACTGCTTCTATGCAATTCCAAGAGTATAACTCTTTACGGGAGTAGAAAACCTCATCTTTCTCCTTTGAAGCTAGCGGTGGTTTTGAACGGCTGACTTTGCAGTTAGCAGCCCAACTGTGTTACCACTACAGCACCACAACTCCAGATAAGTCATATGTTTGAAAATTAATGCTTATTTGATGACGTCATCTTTTCATTTGGGAACTATAGCAAGGCACTGTGCTAGGTGTTAATAAGTGCAGAAAATGATACAAGGTAGAATCAGGGAGTGGCTCTCTTTTTTTAACAATCCCTCAGGTACTCCTTATAACTACCTTTTGACGTATTCTTCTAATACTACATAATACCTTCTGTATGCTGCATTATATCACCATATAAAGCATTAGTTATAATAATGGGCTTGCTTTGGAGAGAAAAGCAAAAGAAGGTAGCAAGCAGTTAACGGCCTCAGAGATTTTATTTCTGAATTATCAAGAGCCCTACAATTGATCACAGAGTTATGGGGGAACTATTTTAACCTGTTAATTTTCATGAACTATTTTTTATTTCTTAAGGCAATGAATTTCCAGGGGAAATTAAAGTATCTCCATGGACAGAACAAAAAAGGGAAGGACGGATCAGTGCTTCCACCTCAGCTGGCATTATTTGCAATAGCTACTCCACTCCAGTCACCATCCATACTGGAAATTCGAACCAAAAATTTCATCTTCAGAACTAAACACAAACTAGATTTCACACCTACTAGTTGTGATGCAAAGTAAGTGAAACTTAATTAATCAAATGCTTAGTTGACTGCAGAAAGTCTCTTAGGGTATAAATCATCTAGTATAGATCATGATTCTGGTTTACTGTTATGTTTTAAACCAAAACCCTATATAATGTTTCAAGATCATAATCTTTACAAGAAGAGCTTCATCTTTCTCCACAGAGCAGCTGGTGGGTTTGAACTGCTGATCTTGTGGTTAGCAGCTCACGGTGTGGACCACTACACCGCCATGGCTCCTTTGTGGTTATATTATGTATATCCTCGTGTATGAGTTTTTCAGCACATTTTTAATACTGTTTTTGTGGTAAAATTAAGTGCCTCAGCTGATATTCGGGTCAGCTTATACTTGAGTATGTACGGTATCTATAATTATTTTACAATATTTTAGTCTAGCCTCAAAGGGTAAAATAACGGCATAAGGCTCACTCTAACAAAAAACTCAGGCTAATTGCCATCGAATCCTAGCAACCCCTGTGAGTTTCCAAGACTGTAATTTCTAATGGGAGTAGAAAGGCCAGCCTACTTCCTGCAGAGCTACTTGTGGGTTAGCGCTGCTGACCCTGCAGGTTGTAGGCTCACATGACTTATTTTGCAATTTTAAAATACTTCCAATCTCCTGATGCTATTTATTTGCTAGATTTTCATTTTTACGTCATATAAAATTTATTTTTAGCTCTAGACATTTGGTCATCTTTGGAAAATTATGAAATAGAGCCTGCTGGTAAACATACACACCACCCATAGTTTTTCTCCTTTCAAATATGAGAAGTCAGAGAAATAATATGATAAACTTTACTCAAAAGAAATGAAGCATAAGCTTTATGAATTTCTATGCACATAATTTGCTGTGCTAGATTCATCTTTAGTCACCCATATTTTTGTGATCTTTATTCAGAAGAGCAAACTAGGCCCAAACTAATTTATAGTTATAAACCTAAACGAAGGAGCCCCTGCTATTGAGCCAATGCCCGGACATGGGGTGAGGTGGGGGGCATTAGCAAAAGTTAATGTGATAGTTATTTCATACCTCCTAATTTGAAATTGTGAATGTCAGGTAAATATAAGTGCAGAAAGTACCAGAAAACCAAAGAATTTATCTTAGTTAAATTTAAATTTCATTCTTCTTTTTTTTTTTTAACAGAGGAAAAATTGTCTTAGGATATACGGAAGCGGAATTGTCCATGAGGGGATCTGGGTATCAATTTGTTCATGCTGCTGATATGCTTTATTGTGCTGACAGTCATATCCGGAGTAAGTTAAAGTGATTTAGAACCTAGCAAGGAAAAAGGGGCGTTAACGCCAGACAGTGCTCTTTATTCATGAGCTGCCACACAGGAATATACACTATGCAAATATGTGTTCCTAGAATGATCCTATTGGTATTTAATCTTTTCTTTCAGTTTTTTTTTAAATCAATTATTGGGGCTCATAAAATACAGAAATCAATTGTGTAGAGCACATCTATACATTTGTTGCCCTCATCATTCCCAAAATTCGCTTGCCTCTTGGGTTCCCGGATTCAGCTCATTTTCCTTTTTTCCCCCCTCCTCCTCCCTTCCTCTACCCCCCTCCCCCATGCACCCTTGATAATTTATAATTATTATATCTTATATTAAAGATTCATTTTTAGCTGAAATCAGATAAAATTAACTATTTCCATTGAATAACGGCTATGGTAAAAAAAATAATTCTCTTTACCAATAAATGAAATATGAGAGAACTTCACAAAGTTTATGAAAATTGAATTATAAGTTAAAAATAAAGAATATGAACTTTATTTTTCAACAAAGGCTCCATTAAGTTTAAAGATATTTTTGTAAATGCTGATAATCAGCCATTTTAGTCCATCCCTAGAAATGTGAGGGTCCTGAGAGTTTAACCATGTCACTACTGTCTTTGTTACATTATTAATTGGCAAAATAAAACAAAAAACAACCTGGGAGCTGAGGAAATGGCATTAGGGTTGCATCTTATTTCCCCTGGCTACACTGGGGAGAAGGAGAATCCAATTTCTCATCAGTCCAAAGCCAGTAGCCGCAGGCAGTGGTCAGACATGCCTCTACCATCCATTCCTCTTTACCCTATTCTGATGCCAACGGTTCCTCCGATGGCACTAAGCTGCTCTGCAGGGCTCGATAATCTGTGGTTGTAGATAATATTCAGGTTTATGGGAATTTATTACAGTGGTAAAGATAGCTTTATGTCTACTCTGCCATGCTTTGAGCCATAGCTGTCTAATCTTTGACCTCTCAGCTACGAGATCCCTTGGGATCTGCCCTTTGGGGCCAGAATCCCCACTTGCCAGCCTTTCTCTTGATCCTGGTGCTGCCTTTCTGCTGGGTCTCATGGTCTGTGTGGTGAGGCCTCGGCTGCTTTGAGCTGGGACCTCACATGCACAACACAATAGTTCTTTTTTCCGGTTCCTGCTTCTGAGATAGCTCTCTAAGTTAGAATCTTCTAGATCCTAGTTGCATGCTCCCTCTCAGTTACCTGGTGGGACTTACAAACACTAGATGGAAGAATTGTGCCAAGCATTTCCAATTCACTGCAGGTCCCCATTAAATATTTTTAAGATTAGAAACAAAAACAAGTCACAATCAGGATTGTAGGGTAAATGCTGAATAGTTTTACATTGAAACTATTCCAAAATTGTCCTTGATGACAAAAAAAGAAGAAGGTATAGGAACATTGTCCTGAGGACAGTGAAGTTTTCCTGGATATTTTTCTGGTAAAGTTTAGCTAACTTTCACAAAGCAGTCACTTAACAAGCAGAGTTTTGTTATTTAGAGCTCCAGAAAAATCAACAAGGAAATGTATAGAGCATCCCAAAATATCATTCCCATGACCTTTGATCCTACTGCTCTGTGTTTGCTTTAACTGGACCACTTCCATTGCTTGGTAGGCATTGCTTTGGTTGTATTTTGTCTTCAGGGTCATACTGGCAAAGCCGGGATTCATTACTTAACTACGGTTCTTTGAGAAATGATTTGGACACCCACCAGGCAGAAAACTTCAACTATCAATCAGAATTGTGTAGGCTGGAACAGTTAAGGCATGCACAAGAACGTTGCCTCAAACTGATGTGCGCAGCATCCCATCATGCTTAGAACAAATTATCCATTTGTAAACTGATTTCTTTTGGACATTGTCCTATAAACTTTCATAAAGCATGAATGATTTCACTATAAATTTGATGTTTGTCTTTACATCCATATTAACTGAATTCATGCTTCTCTGACAGACTCTTTTTCAAACTAATGTCTTCCCCTTCTTAGTCCTTTAGACTAGATTCTGCTCAGAGCATAACAAGTTTATTTTTGTGGGGGGAAAATGGAAATTCATGCATATTATTTTTCATAAACATTTATAGATCCTTCATATATTTATATTACAAAGGCTTTGTTTTTAGTATTTTGATTTAAGGGGTTGATAACTAATTTAAAAATTTTTATTTTAGTGATTAAGACTGGAGAAAGTGGCATGGTAGTGTTCCGTCTTCTTACCAAGGAAAATAGGTGGACATGGATTCAGTCAAATGCACGCTTAATTTATAAAAATGGAAGACCAGATTATATCATTGCAACGCAAAGACCTCTCACGTAAGCATAAAGACTTAAAAATGCTTTGTGGTATCATTTAGTAGCATTATTAACTGTTGTATTTATAAAGCTTATGTGTGTGTGCTATAAGAGAATTTAGTGTGGAAATGAAGAGGTAACTAAATGTATTGTTTTTATTCATTTTATTTAAATGCTGTTGTCAGGTTGGCCTGACCCCCAGCTACCCCATGCACACATCTCAAGTACACGATCATCCCCATGACCACTTGGGGAAGTAAATTGCCACGCATTTCACTGTAGTCTGTCTCTGCTGAAACTATTCAGCATCATAGCAGCTTGCAAGCCTTCCTGACAGATGGGTGGAGGCTGTATCAGAAGTGTAATGGCCAGGAATCAAGAATTCTACCACAGAACCACTAATGCCTTATGCAAATATTCTGGAAAACAGTTCTGGTTGATTTTTACTTATGGCTGGAGGTAAGGATTCATGCTGATTCATCCCACTCCCCCTTACCTGGGTATCCAGTTGACTGGTAACATTGGCCAGACCAGGTATTGAGAAGCCACTTTCCTACCACGGCACTGCAGTTCAGTTGGTTGTAGATGTGCTGCAAATATTTTCTCCATGTATGAGTTCATTTGCTGTTCAAAAGTTTACATTTTAATGTTGTCAACTTTGCCAGTCTTTTCCTGTATGTCTTCTGAGCTTCCTGTTTTAATTAGACATGTCTCTCTTAAGGGAATATGACCTGAGCATGGAATTCACAATTGTGCTGAATTTTTAGGACAGATTTAATTTTTGGTTGCTTAAAAAAAAATTCAAAACTATCTATAGCAACAGTCATAAAGATATGTAAGCCAAGATAAAGTTGATGCTTGTTCTTTCTTCATGTGAAATATTTTATTTTAAAATGTTGGTGATATGCGAACTCTCCTTAGTATTGCAAACTTTTTGTACACGATTTTAGAGAAGAAGAAGGAATCGAGCATTTACAAAAACGGAATATGAAGCTGCCTTTTATGTTCACCACTGGAGAAGCTGTGCTCTATGAGGTCACCAGTCCTTTCCCGCCCAGTATGGACCCCTTACCAATAAGGATGAAAGGCAACACGGGGACACAGGACTCTGCTACTAAGTCCTCTTCAAACACAGATTCTCTTAATCCCAGTTCTCTCCTGGCTTCTTTGATGCAACAAGATGACTCTATTTATCTTCACCCAGCTTCAAATTCTGTAACCTTTGAAAGAAAAATTTTAAGCAAATTAATGAATGAATGCAGCAATTGGCAGGACAGTGTTACATCAAGGGAAAATGAGAATATCCTGAAGCACGAGCAAAGTAGTCAGTCTCCAGAAATAATTCTCTCTGGAGACCATGCAGATGTCTTTGCAGATAATAAAAATAGTGAGTTGTACAGCATTATGAAACACCTCGGCATTGATGCTGAAGACATCAAGCACATGCAGCAGAATGAGGAATTTTTCAGATCTGACTTTTCTGGTGCAGATGACTTTGGAGATCTTGACATAGAAGATGATGTGCTGACATATGTCCAAGAGTCTTTAAGTAAATCTCCCTTCGTGTGTTCAGGTTACCCACAGCAGCAGTCTGTGCGTCTGAACTCAAGTTGTATGGTGCAGGAACACCAGCAGCAGCTACAGCACAAGCAAGTAGGGGAGCAACAGCAGCAACTCTGCCAGAAAATGAAGCATATGCAAGTTAATAACATGTTTGCAAATTATAACTCTAACCAGCCGGTGCCTTTTAGTTGCCCTCAGCAAGACCCACACCAGTATAATGTCCTTTTCGACGTACATGGAGCTAATCAAGAATTTCCCTACAAATCTGAGATCAGTATGATGCCTTATACACCAAGCCTTATTCCTTGTAATCAGCCAGTGTTTCCACAACATTCCAATTATACGCAGTTGGACTTTGCTGTAGGGAATTTCGAACCATCCTCGTACCGCAGTACATCTTCTAATTTTGAAGGTTTTGTCCATTGTTTACAAGTTCCTGAAAATCAAGAGCATGTACTGAATCCACAGTCAACTCTAGTGACCCCTCAGACATGTTATGCTGGGGCCGTGTCAATGTATCAGTGCCAGCCTGAAAGTCAGCACACTCAGTTGGACCAGAGGCAGTACAACACCACAGTCCCTGGCGCTCAGGCATTTCTAAATGAGGTAAGAGTGTCTGTCTAACTGAATAAACCCTGCCCGTACTGTATCTATAAGTATACCACTCTATAGACTCATTGCCATCTAGTGGCTTCTGACTTAGAGGGCAGAGTAGAACTTCTCTTTGGTTTCTGAGCCCATACATCTGTACTGAAGCAGAAATCATTTTTCTCCCACAAATAGAGATGAGTTATAAATTGTCACTTATTAGCTCTTATTCTTCCCTATGGTGTTCCTGTGAGAGAGAATTTCTACCTGTGTCAGTGACTACTTTCTTTGAATAAATCAGTAGTTTTCCCTCTATCTCATTAAAGTAGCATAACTTACTTCAAATATGAAGGAGAAAGAAATGTCTGGCTCATCGAACAAATAATATCCTATATGGAAGCTGAACTAAGCTACCAGGTAAAATGACTGTGTCTTGAATAGGACATTTGATGAATCTCCTTGATTTATGAAAAAGTATGTGGCCTTAAAAAATTCAACCTTTCAAAGCTCAAATGTTTTAAATTGGGTTAAGATGAAATACAGGTATACTTTTCATAGAATCCCTATAAAAACTGGGAATTATTTCTGAAATTCACTTGTGGGCTCTTCAGTGTTCTCTGCA